AAGTACCCATGGACCTGTTGTAAGCGGTGTTGTAATGGAACTCGGCACAACTCAGATAACGATGCCAGGCAGAGGGATTGTCATGAACAAAACACCTCAGGTACTGTTCCAAACTCCTGTTGACCCGTTTCGTTTGGCCGTCGGACTGGGGGTGGTAGGCCGAACTATAGTGTAATAGAGTCCCCTGAAGCTTAAACAAAGTCTTCCAAAAATGACTAAGAAATAGTGGGTCACGGTCTGAAACAATCGACTTGGGTGCACCATGGAGCTTGCCCACCACATCCCAAAATATCAGTGCGACCTTCACTGCTGAGTATTTGGTGGGTAGGCAGCAAAGTGGGCTCCCTTAGTAAGTCTATCAACAACCACAAAAATGGCAGTAAAGCCCCCTGAAGGAGGTAGATGGGTCACGAAACCCATCGAAAGGTCGGACCAGATAAAATCGGGGGTGGATAAGGGCTGTAGGAGACCATACGGGGAATGGTTGGGGGATTTAGCTTTTTGACATATTTCACATTCTTGAATGAATTTTTGAACATCCTGTTTAATGTTTTTCTAGGTAAACTTGGCACCTAGCCGTAGCAAAGTACGGCGGACACTAGCATATCCTCCGAGTGTGGAAGAATGGAATTCATGAAGCAGCAGTGGAATTAAAGAAGAAGCAGCCGAAATGTACAGACGGTTGCGGTGGAACAAAAGGCCGTTTTGTAATAACCAATGAGGCCATTTGGATGAGTCTGTAGATAAATCATGTAATATTTGTGTAGCATAGGGGTCAAGGTGTAACTCAGACTGTACAATGGAATTATACTATGAAGTAGGAGTACTGATAGCCATGAAGGAAGGGGAAACCATCACCGAATTCCCTTCGGGTAGACGTGATAAGGCGTCCGCCACCACGTTCACTTTACCAGATTTATATTGAATAGAGTAATTAAAACCCAGCAGTTTCGCAAGAAACTGTTGTTGCTCCGGGGTTTGAATCACTTGTGATATCAGGTGGTGCAAACTCTGGTGATCAGTCTTGATAATAAAAAATGACCCCAATAGATACTGACGCCATTTTGCAACCGCAGCAGTAATGGCATACATCTCTCTAAGATAAGTAGATTTAGATTGCATCAGCTTTGAAAGCTAGCGACTGAAAAAAGCAATGGGATGGTTGTTCTGCAACAAGACCGCTCCGACACCTACCTCAGAGGCATCAGTTTCGAGGACAAATGGCAGGGAGAAATTCGGTAAAGCAAGGATTGAGGCAGTTGTGAGTAATTGCTTCAAAAGTTGAAATGCATTGTCCGTCAAATCTGTCCAGACAAAAGCATCTTTGGCCAGCAAGTCAGTGAGGGGGGCAGCTACCAAAGCATATCCTTTAATAAAACGCCGATAATAACCGGAAAGGCCGAGAAAAGCTCAAAGTTGAGTCACCGACGATGGACGTGGCCAATCGCGCACAACTTGAATCTTAGAAGGATCGGGAGCTACACCAGCAGCAGATATAATATGACCCAAGAATTGAATTTCCTACACTGCAAAGGAGCACTTTGTCAGTTTAACAAAGAATTGAATCTTAGAAGGGTTTTAGATCTTAGTAGAAGAGAGAGAAGAGAGAAAAGAGAGAAAAGAGAGAGAAGAGAGTTTTGTTCAATTTTCTTAATTTTCATACGCCCCCCTTGGGCCCTTTAATATGGTTTGTGATCAGCAATGTTCATTACATGATAGTTACATGAAAGTAAACTGACTACTCATCAATAATGATGAAAATGGGCTTAAGTTACTATTGAAAGTAATCCACTAAGTACGCTGGTTGTCTCTTCAACCTATTGGGCCTCTGATTAGCAAGCCCACAGCTTGGGGTTGCTACATTCTGTTCGGGTCATGTTAAAAATTTTCACTCCTAAGAATATCCTTAACTTATTTCAAAGATTTTGGATAATATTTTTGCAAAATAGCTTAGAATTGTTCATGTAAAAAAAATGCCTGAAATAGCCAAATAATGTTAGGATACTTTGTATTCTTAGAAAATTAAAAAAAAAAATATTGAACACCAAAAATAAATCTCTAAATTGTTGTTAAAACATCGATTCCATAATAAATAAAATTAAAATTAAAATCCTACCCCACGAGTCCTCGTGAAAAAAATAATTCTTTCATGATAGTATAAAAATTACGTGTTTAAAGTAATTTATTTTAATAAAAACGTTTGAATAAAACTTTAAATTAAAGAACCATTTAAACATATTCAAATAATATATATATGGAAAATAAAATTCTCCTTTTATAAGATAATTCTCTTTTTTTTTTTTTTTGGTAAAAGATAATTCTCTTTTTCTCCAGTTAGGGTGTGCATGACAACCATTCTATTCCTTAGCACTGTTTCTGAAAAGAAACAATTCTTTTCTATTTCTGTGTCTTAGAATAGTTTCTGAGAAAAAAATGTGTTTGATAACATGTTATATTTTTATTCCGAGAATGAGAATTGTGTTTTATAACACAACAAATAATATAATACAAAATTATTTCTTTTAAATATAATTTCCATATGGTGTGGTTGCGGAGGTGGTGGCGGCAGTAGTACGGTAGTGGTGCGTGGAGATGATTGTGGTGGTGGTTGTGGGAAATTTTTAATATACTCCAGGACCATCATGGTCCTTCCACTAAAAAATTGACACATGTATAATTTTTTGTTTTTTTTTCTCTCCTCTCTCCTCAACTTTTTCTCTCTTTCTCTCACCTCCGCCCCACCAAATCCTTTATGCACCGGGACCACAAAAATATAGCTCGTAGTTGTGACGACAGTGGCTGCGGCGATGGTGGTGGTAGTGGTGGAGGTGGTGGAGGTGACGACAATGGCTGCAACAATAGTAGTGGGGATGGTGGTTGGTGGCAGTTATGATTGGTGGCGGCGACAGTGGTAGCGATGACATGGTGGTGGTGGTTGTGATGGCATCGTGGTGGTGGTGGTGGTTGTGACAGTGGTTGCAGTGGTGGTAGGTGACAACGGTGGTGGTGGTGGTGATGACGTGGTGATGGTAGTGACAGGGGTGATGTAATGGTGGTAGTGGTGACGGTAGTGGCTGTGGCGATGATGGTAGTGGTTGGTGGCGGCGGCGGCGGCGGCAATGGCGATGACGGTAGTAGCTGCGGCAATGGTAGTGGTGGTTGGTGATGGTAGCGGTGGCGTCGTGATGGTGGTAGTGGTGGCGATGATGGTGGTGGTGGCAGTGGCATGGTGATGGCGATGGTGGCAGTAACGGTGACAGTGATAGCAGTGGTTGCGATGATAGTTGTGGTGGTTGATGGCGATAATGGTGATGGTGGTGGTGACGGTGACAGTGATAGTGGTGGTGGTGGTGGCGGCGGTGGTGACGGTGGCATGATGGTAGTGATGGGTGGAGGTGGCAGTGATATCGTGGTCGTGGGGGTTGGTGACAATGCCACTAGTGGTACGACGGCGACGGCGACGATGGTGGCCGTGGTCGTGTCAGGATGATGGTAGAGGTGGAGAATGATTGAGAGAAAAAATGTTTATCATTTTGTGTCCGGGAACAAAAAAGCAGAAATTTTCTGATTCTTTTTTCTGTTCCCCAGCACAAAATTAAACCGGTTTATCCCGGAAAAAAAAAATCGATTTTACCAAACGAGTTTTCTATCCATTTTTATTTTCGGAAACAGAAATTAAAAAAAAAATGATTCCGGAAAGGTTGTCATGCAGACCCTTAGAATTTGTTTACATGCACTCAAATTTTTTTTTTTTTTTTTTGTTCTCGCAATGAATTTGGGTTTGTAGGAAACTTTCCTCTACTCCAATAACATAAAAGTATATATCTATCATCTACCCAAAAAAAGTATATATATATATATATATAGAGAGAGAGAGAAATATTTAGTAGCCGGAGATAAAATTATCTCAAACAGCTTTGTACGATTATGATTTAATAGCCGAAGATAAAATTATCTCAAACAGCTTCTTGAAAAGTGATAAGTCCATATAGAGAAAAAATATTTCTCAAGCTGCTTGAGATATATTTATCTCCGGTCACCCAAAAACTACGTTGTTTTGTTTATTTATTTTCTTATATCAATTGATTCACCTCTCCGGTCACCCAAAAACTACGTTGTTTTGTTTATTTATTTTCTTATATCAATTGATTCACCTTTGAATGATTATGACTCTCCTTTTCTCTCTCTTCCTTTGTCACCATTGATCCATCTTCGTACATTTATGATTTAGTAGCCGGAGATAAAATTATCTCAAACAACTTAAAAAATGATAAGCCCATATATATATAGGATTCGTTTTTTTTGCAGTTACTGCAGATAAGTTATGTGCAGTAAGCCCAATACTACGTCATTTTGGGGCAGAAATCATGGTATTTTTGTAATTTTAATTTATTTTAGAGTTATAATAGTGTTTATATTTAAATTTTTTAAGATTTCAATATCAAAATGACGTCATTTTGGAAATAAATGTAGATAACTTATCTGCATTAACTGCAGAAACATTTTCTCATATATATATATATATATATATATATATATATATATATATACTTTCTCATAGAGAGTGTTTTTGATATATATATATTTTCTAGAGGTAGGATATTCTCACTACCACTTTTTTCTACTACCACTTTAATCACTATTGGATTCAAAAGTTATTTTTTTTTTCTGTCTCTTCATTCAACTTTTTCTCTAATGCAATGGTGATTAGAGTGGTTGTGAAGTGGTAGTAAAAAAAAAGTAGTGAAATGGTAGTAAAAAAAAAAAAGTAGTAAGAATATCCTAATTCTATTTTCTAATGTTAAGTGGAAAAAGTTTTTTTCATATCATCCATAAATAATATATATATTTTTTTTTTAATTTCTTAATAGCGGAACTCGTGTATCTTAAATATGTGTGCATGAAAACTCATGTGAAACGAGAAAAACAAATGCCATATATAATACAGTAGTCTAACTATTGTGTTGGCGGCGTTGGTACAATTAAACTTGGGAGAGTGAGTCTACACTCTACAGTACAGTACAGTGCTGGTTATACACTACACAGCATCAATGGCCATTGAAACTCTAGTGTTGGGTATCTCCTTGTTCCGTTTTCTTTCATGTGATGCAATCACAGCACGTTTTTCAATCTCACACTTACTTGGTTTGAATTGCAGGGGCGGGTCAAGAGGTTGGGAAGAGCTGCGTGATTGTTAGCATAAACGGTAAACGAATCATGTTCGATTGCGGAATGCACATGGGCTATTTGGACCGTCGTCGATACCCTGATTTTAGTCTCATCTCTCACTCTGGTGATTTCGACGCTGCACTCTCTTGCATCATCATCACTCACTTGTATGTATCACCACCCCTTAACTACTAACACTCCCTCTTTTGATTCGTGTAATCATCGTCTTGCAAATTATGCTTCCGTGAGTCACAGAAGGAATGAGATTTTTCCTTACTTTTGTGTTGTTGTTTGCAGTCACTTGGATCATGTTGGAGCGTTAGCTTACTTCACCGAAGTTTGCGGGTACAGTGGACCGGTTTATATGACGGTGAGTCAGTGCTATTAGGTGTTTGATGAAATGTTTGACTGAAACTGAAACTGCCGGGGTGGTTGTTTGTTTGTGGTGTTCGAATAGGATGGACTTTTAATTAGAGGCTCTGGTATTTAAGGTTTTCGTGATTCTACTTTGGCGTGAGAAATTAACGTGGGGGCATGTGCGGTGTTTACTGAACGTGGAAGGTGAATGATTTTTGGAATTATGTGACTGCTAAGTTTTCTCTGCGAGAGAGGAAGGGAGTTTAATGGGTTAAAGGAAATCCTTAAGTTAATTCAATTGGAAAATATCTGGAAGGAAAAGGTGTTCTTGATTCAAGTTTTGAATTTTTTCTAGAGAGGAAATATCTGGTTGAATTTTTTCAACACGATCTCCTAGCATGACACGAAAAATTTGTGTTCGGATTGACCCGTTTTCAAATTCGTGTTGTTTGCAAAAACTGAGACGAAAAAATTTATATCGTGTCGCGTGTCAACTTGCAAACACGAAATTGACCCCTGTTAATATTTTTATAAGTTATGTGTCGTGTCGTGTCAACACGCAAAATAAGCAGATCGTGTTTGTGTCAAATATTTTGACCCATTTTCAAATTCATGTTGTTTTCGCGTCAAATTTGTGTCGGGTCGTGTCAACCCGAATTGTAACCCCTAGTTAAAAATGGTTGTTATGTTTTGACCTGCTCTGGATTATTTTTACTGCATATGCATGTAGTCTTGTTCTAATTTTTTTTTTTAGTCTTTTGGTACTGTTTTGGTCAATGCTGACTGGTGGGGTTTCTGGGATGTAATGAATATACTAGAGCTTTGAAGCCAACATTATTTGGCCAAGGGCGTTCTGATGGTGCTTTGAATATTTAAGCATTGGCTTCCAGGTTATAATTTTACAATAGTAAATTTAACATGACTTATATTTGATTTTAACCAGTACCCAACAAAAGCTTTGGCTCCTTTGATGTTGGAAGACTACCGCAAGGTAATGGTTGATCGTCGGGGCGAGGAAGAGCAGTTTAGTGCTGATCATATTGCTGAGTGCATGAAGAAAGGTAATGTCGGATCCTCTTTTCCTTTAATGTATCAATATGTTGGTTAAACAATTATTACTTTTGGTTTAGACATGCCACTAGGAAAAGTTGTGTATATTCACACTTGTCAAGCCTCTCAGTGAACAGCAAATTATGTAATGTATTAACATTAGCGGACAGAGAGTTACTTCGTGTTGAAGTTTGAATTGTATGCAGCTGTTATGCTACAAGTATTTTGATGGGGGATAAATATTCTTTATCTGGTCTATAAAATATGTCATTTGAGTTTTATTTATTTATTTTTTAATTGATAACATTGACAGACTACAATTTTAAAACAGATTCATAAAAAAGATTCTGCTATACTTATCAGTAGTTTGATTTGCGTTGAACACATCAAAATTTCATCCAAAATAACCACATACCTCTGACAGTAGCATCTCAATTTCATATCACTATAATAAACATTTTAATTTGGTTTGATTCCTGTGTACAGTTATTGCTGTAGACCTGAGGCAGACTGTGCAAGTAGACAAAGACCTGCAGATACGTGCCTATTATGCAGGACATGTAAGCCTTTGAACTTCATCTCGGAAGCCATATCTCATTTGCATTAATAAATTTAACACCAGATACCTTGGTGAATCTCTCAACATTAGAGTTCTTGTTTAATTTTTGTCAATATAAGATAGTAGAGCGTGAGATGGCAAAAAATTGGCAAATCAAAACTATATGACAAAATCAGAACAAGATGAAAGTGTCTGATAGCATTCAAGATTAGGATTTTAAGACTAGAATGGACAGCTGGTAATCTGTGTTCTAAGATTAAAAAGTTAGTTTAATAATATCAACAGGTGAGGATAAGGCTTAAGGATTTAAGGTTTTTTTACCTTAAAAGGAAGAATGGTTTTCACTGTGGCAAAGAAGGAAAAAAGTACCAGGTTCTGTTGTCTGGCAGTGAGCAGTTGCCTGAGAGTCTTAGATATCAGAAGAAGAACAAGACCTTCAAAGTTTTTTTTTCCTGATTAGTCCACTTGTGGGAAGGGAAGCCTGAACAGTTGCCTGATCTTTTGATTTTGCTCCTGGTAGTACTAAAGGGAAGCCTGGTGCTATAAAGCTCCTGCTAATGCATGAGGTCGAGGGAAAGGTTGGACCCACTATTTCGGTCTATTGGAAGCAACCTTACCTTTTGTCATGGTTACTTTCCCTATCCAGGTCGTCTCTTCCAGTTCCATTATACATCTGTTTATGATCTTATAGTTAAGCATCACCACTGATTTATTGAAGCTTTTGACATTCTTCTACCCATAGCAAAACTGATATGTCTGTAACATATCGTACCTGATAATGCAACTAAGAATTATTAATCATGTCATGTGAAGTAGCATTCCTTATAACATAATTTATCATTTTATTTCAGGATGTACATGTAATTTTTTTTTGTTATTATGGCTACTTTCTATATCTAGTCTATCTTGATAGCATAGAATCTTGTTCTTTCAATACCTTAAATTAATGTTTTAGTACTCTCAGCTGATAATTCCTCCAATTCTGATTTGTTAAGGTTATTGGAGCAGCAATGTTCCATGCAAAAGTGGGAGACACTGAAATGGTTTATACAGGAGACTACAATATGACACCAGATAGACACCTAGGAGCAGCTCAAATCGATCAACTACGACTTGACCTTCTTATAACTGAGTAAGAACATCATTGATTGTGTAAATGCATGTTATAACGATGTTATCAAAATGTTTTGAGGGTGATAAATGATATTTTCTTGCTTGTTTAGCGTTTTAAAGTATATTGATAGTATTAGTTCATTTTCTACAATGAATTTGAATTATGAATATACTTTTCTTCGGTAACAGTATTTTCTTTAAGGTATATGATATGAACCTTGGCTTAGCCTCACTTTAAAAGCTAGCTTGTAAGGTAAGAGACCCCAAAGCTCATATAAACTCCACACTAGAACCTTATCTTTCCGATGTGAGACTCCAAGTCCCATACCTTGCAACTGGATCGGAACATCCCATCACGCTCTGCAGCCCTGGCTTGATGCTAATTTTTTACTAGCCCTAGGTGAATATTGCAATGCTAGCGTCACCAGTCGCGCCACTTGATTGCAATTGGTAGACATAGTGGAAGCTCTAATACCATTTGATACGAATCTTGGAAAAGCCTTATTCCAAAAGCTAGCTTATAAGGTAGGAGAGCCCAAAGTTCATATAAACCCCACATCAAAACCTTATGTTTCCGATGTGGGACTCCAAGTCTCATACCTTGCAACTAGATCATAACAGTATATAATTTTGAATAATACTTTTCTCTTAACTGAATTTTGAATATTGTTAATCTCATATTGATAACACTGTTAGAAATACCATTCCTCGACTTGCACCTAGCAACTTAAACTTTTGGGAAGATGGCTTGAATGTTATCAAACCATATGCGACCAAGTGGTATCAGATCAATAATTGTTATACCCATTTTTCATTATTTAATTAATTTCAATTTTGAGGTCAAATGCATTATGCCACCCTAATTTATTATTCATATTACAGTTTCTACCCTAGTTGAAGTAATTGATTTGTTAGGATTTGATATGTATTATTTTCCTTAATTCCCTAGTTTCTCAGTTTCCTTATTTTCTTAGTTTCCTAATATCAGATATTGTAAATTCCTAGTTTCATATTATGAGAATCATGCATAAATAGAAGGTGCTGCTGAAGATTTCCTCAGTCAATTCACAAATCCTTTTGTACAGTAGTTTTGAATATCCAATCTACAATTGTGTTATGTTATCATGATGCAGTAACATTCATATGTATTTTCACAGTTTTTATTCTTCCCCTATTGAGTAATGGTTTAATCTGGTTTCAAATGCAAAAAACCTATTTTGCGTTTACTGCTTGCAGTTATTAGATGGATTTTCCTGGACACAGTTTTGTTATTCTAACAACTTTTATGTCAGATCCACGTATGCGACTACAATACGTGATTCAAAATATGCTCGTGAGAGGGAATTCCTCAAAGCTGTATGTATTTGATGCACTTACTCTGAAGAATTCATACACTACATATGTTTATGCAATTTTTCGTCTTGTTTTCTTTCAGACATCTATTTAAGAAAAAAAAAATTTGATCTCACTTTCTCAGTCCTTTTTTTAGTTAATTATGTCTTACTTTCGCTGTTTGCATTTTACATTGACCTGCCATTGATTATATTTGAAGTGATCCTTTTAGTATTTTTGGAGAATCCTTGGCTTGTACTCAGAGGATGGACCAATATTTGTTGATTAGATCAAGAGGTTTCGACTGAAGTTAAAAGAGGAAAGATCTTCTGGATGTGTGCTATTTATGCTCCAATTGGTGCATTTGGTTGGACATTGTTAGAATACTAGGACTCGTAGTGATTTTGGAGTTTTTTGTTAGTAATGTTATTGGATTGGGCTTGTTGACCTATATTAGTTGTTTGATTTGGTGTTAGTGGTTTGTTTCTAATACACAGAGTTTCTCGTGATCACTTTCTGTTTCAACATAGTCCCTGCATTGAGATAGGATTGTGTAATTGGCTTCTATTTGATTTTCAGCTTGTGGTATTATCTGGGAGTTCCTTTGCTAGATATGTCAATGGGCTAGAGGAGTTTATTATATTGATTTTCTTATCTCTTGTTTTAGTTACATTGTTTGTTTTTTGTAAGGAGGATGGCTTATCCTTAGGTTATGTACTCTCCATCTTTTATTAAAAAAAAGGAAAGGAAAGAAAAGAAAAGAAAAGAAAAGGGAACTTTATCTGGGAACAAAATTTGTCTGGATTTGGGTTTAACTAGTGTTGCATGTGTAAGGTTCATCGTGTGATTGTGTTCCCCTTAGCATATTTTCTAAGGTCTTAATGTTGATGATGGAGGTGGTGGAATATTTGGAATCTTCTCACAGCTGAAGATAATTGTTGACATTATAGGGATAAGATGGAAACAGAGAAGAGACTCTGAATAATCGATATTGTGATATGAGATTGATACAAAACATTAACCTAACAATCCTATTTATGCTAATATTATAAGTCAAGTACTAGTCTAATTCAACTAGTATGAGCCCAGTGCAATAACACTACTGGCTACTAACATAATGAGATTCCATAAGCAATAACATTTGTAATATTCTAATAGTGATAATGATTTAATGAAATATTTGGAATAGTCACATAGCTGATGATGATGGTGGTGGCATATTTGGACTAATCTCTTTGTTATCATTGGTGAGGAATGTGTTGTTTCTGTATTTGAAACACAGTTTAGAGGAGATGGCAGAAGTTAGAAACCAGGCTTTATGGTGATACATTGTCTTTGTGGGATTTGTTTACTTAGTTTGAGCTTAATGCTAAGGAATTGATTTTTTGGCTTATTCACAGTGCTCAGCTTGAGCCAGCCAATTAAGTGGGGTATCTTCAATAGATATTCAGGAAGTTTAGTTGGCCCTTTCTGTCAATATATACATTTTCTTGTAGTCCCTTTGTTATATTGTTTTAGGAGGAATCCTTTTCTTATCCTCTACTCTCATCTTTCCTTTTGTCTCGATTTTTATGTGATTTTTCTGTTTTTTTTTTCAAATAAAAAAATTGGCTCATAACTTTTTGTTATTCGACTGCATTCTGCATGTATGCTTGATCCAAGATTTGTTTCTCCTGTAGCTTTTATGATGAGCTCTTTATGTATCAAAGTAAAAGCAAAATGTTTCCAAGGATCCAATATTTATGATTGTTAACGTTTAATTTTAAGATAAATCTAAAATATTTTATTCAATAAAATTTATTATGACTAATTTCTATGTTAGATATATTGACAGCTGTAGCATTTTTTTTGTTCTTAATAAGGCATAGTCCTTGTGTACATTTGGAAGAAAGCAGGATAGTGCTGTGTTAGGTTGGATTAGCATGTAGTCATGTCAAGTTACAATTTTTTTTTTCTTTTTCCAAAATTTTCTGCTTGTGTCTCTTTTACTTTATGTTTTCGTTTAGATTCAAGTTCTCCTGAGCTACAGTTACTCTTATGTTGGTACTAAGTTTCAAATTGATTGATTTAGGTTCATAAATGTGTTTCCGGTGGAGGAAAGGTGCTTATTCCTACATTCGCTCTTGGAAGAGCCCAGGTATTCTGATTAAGATGGCCATTCATCTCACTGATTGTAATTTATATATCTGTTTAGGATGAAGTGCAATCAATTATTACACCTTTCTCTTCATAATGATTCCATGATGTAGTTATGATTTCCGCTTCCCATCCCTAAACCCTCCTCACAAAAGACAAGAAAAAGAGAGAGAGAGAGAGAGATGAATAAGAAATTAGGGTTACTTCTTACCAGTACTTTTCGGGGATTCTAAGATCTTAATTCTGTCCTTAATGTTTTATGCATTTTATACAGTGTGCGTTTATTGGCTTTGTATTTGTAATTGTCTTAGTTGAATTACCTTAATATAGATACTGCATCGTTGGCAAGATATTGTTTCCATGGCTCATCATTCTATAATGTTAATTATATTCCCTTGCTGTTTCCTTAATTGAATATTAATTATTTTATATATCATAAAAAATGGATTTACTGAAAAGCAAAAAGTTGGAATCCCTTCCCAAAGGTCTTTTTTAGTGACTTTTCCTATTATATTTTTAAGTCTTCATCTATCCCTTTCAGAGTGCATTTGGATAAGCTTTGAGAGTGCTTTTATGATGTAGCTTGTGTTAGAACTTTTTCAAAAGATTCTCCTTTTATCTTTTGAGTAAAGCATCAAATCTGCTTTCTTTTGTGTTTTTGCTTTTTAAAAATGCTTCTCCAACTATCTTGAGATTTTTTAGAAATATTTTTTAATTAAAAAGTGCCCAAACAAATGGGCTCTCTTAGGCTATCTTGTATTTGATACTTGAGTATCTGCTGGTCTTATTTGACTAAATCGCCTTTGGGAAGTTTCTATCATCTTCTCCACTATAGATGCTATTCAAACTTTCTGTTGGTTACATTCATTTTTAGTCTTATATTTTCTTGTATGTCCACTCTAAATTGCCATTAATTATTTTTAGAGATATAATACAAAACCATTCTTGTGTCTTCACCTAATAGCTTAAACTTTTGGGAGTTAGTTTATGAAACGGCATAAGAGCATCTATGACCCAATCGTCTAGAGTTCGAACCTTGCCGTCCCCAGTTTTCTAATAAAGTTAAATTTTAACACAAGGTAGGTGGGCATATGCATATTCCATGCTTCAAGCTCAAATGGCTCTTGCATGAGGGGCTTGTTAAACATATATAATATAAAAAAACCATTCATGTGTCTTCACCAAAGAGCTTAAACTTTTAGGAGAGTTGGTTTGTGGCATGCTACCAGAGCTTCTATGACCATGTGGTTTAGAGTTCAATCCTTGCCGTCTCTTATTCTTCTAATCAAAAAATAATTTTTTGCACAAGGTAAAAGAGCTTGTGGATTATCTCTATGCTTAAAGCCCGGATGACTCTTGCGTGAGGGGGATGTGTTAGAGATATAATACATAACCATTCATGTGTCTTCTCATGATAGCTTGAGCTTTGGGGAGATTTGGTTCATGACAACTATCATAGAGCATTGCTAGTTTTATAGTTGTTTGGTAGAAGTTTCCATTGAATTTGATAGGCATTATGTGATTATGAACAACATATGAACTATTTCTCCATTTTATTCGTCTAGCTTGAATCCTATGTGTGATATCCTATCAATCTCAAGTTCCAAGAATAAAAAATAGTAATTTTAAATATTTAAAATATGTAATTATATTTTTGATCTATTGACATGTTTTTGAGAAACGAGTTAGTACAACTTCAACATCAACAACACCTTTATTCCAAACTAATTGGGGTTGGTAGATGAATCCAAATAAAAGATACGAAAGGGTAGAAAATAGATATAAAAAAAAGCGAGTTAGTAAATTTAATTAAATAAAAAATGAGAATATAATATCTAAATTATTATAGAAAAGTGTACAACTAATTGTATTTCATCCAAAAAATTATTTTTCTTAAAACTGTAGATCTATATAGGTTGTGTAAAGAACCTTGGGATACACCACCCCAAAAGCTAGCTCAAAGGGTGGGAGTGCCCAAGGGACTATATATCTCAACACGTCCCCTCACACAAGAGCCCATTGGGCTTGAAGAGTGGACAATGCAACAGGCCCAACCTACCTGTGCAAACAAAGAAATTCCACTTGAAAGAAAGTGAGGGGCGGCGAGGATCGAACCCGGGACATGAGGCTCTGATACCATGTAAAGAACTTTGGGATACACCACCCCAAAAGCTAGCTCAAAGGGTGAACACGCCCCCTCACACGAGAGCCCATTGGGCTAGAAGCGTGAACAATGCAACAGGCCAGCCTACCCGTGCTGTTAAGAGTGTTAGTGTTAATAGTGTAGAAGTCCCACATTGAGTGTGTCTCTTTGTATTCTTCAATTGGTTTGCTATATAATAGCACCAATGTTGTGTAGTTTAATACAATAAGGATTACTATCATTTCCTCTTGTATCTATGAGATTTAACATGGTATCTAGAGCCTAACAAGAGGAATCTTAATCCGTTTAACTTAGTTCTATTTTCCATAATTTCAATATGGTTATAGAGAGATATCACCCTCCTTGAGGGATTCCCGTTGCTATTTCTTTTTCGGGTTTTTCTTAGTATGCTCTGTGACTGCAGCTTAGATTGATCTGTCACATCAGAAAAGAATGATCCTTGGGAAGTTGTTGGGTTGACTACCGTTGTCGTTGACCGACCACCGTTGACCGCGTCGTCCACCGTTGACAGCCGTCTCCGGCGACTTTTCCGGTGACTTTTCCGATGACTTTCCGGCGACTTTTTCGGCGATCCACCACCGTCTCTGATGACTTTTTCGACGACCCATCGCCGTCTCCGGCGACTTTTTCGATTCAGCGAAGCTTTGTTTTTCTTTAATCTTCTTTCTTCCCAAGATGGAGTATTTATACTATTCATCATCCATCTTGAGGGGAAGCACTGTCCATGTTGCTGATGGTCATTCCAGCACAATTGTCTTTGCCGATGATAATTCCGACACTGTTTAGAAGTTCCTCTTGAGGGGGAGCACTGTCCATGTTGCTGATGGTCATTCCAGCACAATTGTCTTTGCTGATGATAATTCCGGCATTGTTTAGAAGTTCCTCTTGAGGGGGAGCACTGTCCATGTTGCTGATGGTCATTCCAGCACAAATTGTCTTTGCCGATGATAATTCCGGCACTGTTTAGAAGTTCCTCTTGAGGGGGAGCACTGTCCATGTTGCTGATGGTCATTCCAACACAATTGTCTTTGCCGATGATAATTCCGGCACTGTTTAGAAGTTCCTCTTGAGGGGGAGCACCGTCCATGTTGCTGATGGTCATTCCAGCACAATTGTTTTTGCCGATGATCATTCCGGCATCTTCCATGTTGATATTCATTTCGACGCCATTTTTAGCACATTGTTGATTTTTGGTTTCTCATTTAGGAGATTTATTTTGATGTTATGTTACTTGGTCTTTCTTGTAATAAGCTTGTAGCATAGTCAAGGGAAAACCACGGCTGCTCACCAACTGTTAAATGAAATGTCTGAGAGGGATCTTGATGCTGATGTCCTGGTCAGCTCAGTTGTCTTTGCCGATGATAATTCCGACACCATCCATGCTCTGATGTCCATTCCAGCACTGCCTCTTTATCAGCTCTTCAGACTGATGGTCATTCCAGTTGATTTGTTGTACTTAGTCATTTCATTTCGTTGATGTAGCATTGTTGTTTTTGGTTCCTAATGAGAGTATTATTTATGTATCAAGCTTGTAGCATATGATCTATATGCTACAGCTTGAGGGGGAGTGTTAAGAGTGTTAGTGTTAATAGTGTAGAAGTCCCACATTGAGTGTGTCTCTTTGTATTCTTCAATTGGTTTGCTATATAATAGCACCAATGTTGTGTAGTTTAATACAACAAGGATTACTATCATTTCCTCTTGTATCTATGATATTTAACATGTGCTAAGAAACTCCACAAGAGAAAGTGGGGGGCGGCGAGGCTCTAATACCATGTAAAGAACCTTGGGATACACCACCCCAAAAGCTAGCTCAAAGGATGGGAGTGCCCAAGGGACTATATATCTCAACATGTTATATAATTTATACTAATTTAATATTTATAAAAAATATTGATTATTTAGCGTATTTCCTGTAGTTCACTTATAAATTCTATTAAAGATGTTATAGTTTTTAATATATTTTAAAATATTTATTAAGAAGGATTTTTATTTTTATTTTAAAATCCAGTTTGACCTAGGTTGGATTAATAAACCATGAGGGACTTACTATTCTGGTTCAGTGAACAGTTTAATTATCAAAACATTCATTAAGATTTAATGGTTGTCTTATATTTATCAAGTTATTATGATATGTAGGAACTATGTATTTTGTTGGATGACTACTGGGAACGCATGAATTTGAAGGTTCCTATCTACTTCTCAGCAGGTTTGAAACGTCTAGTGTCCTTTTTTTAAAGATATTCTCATTTATGCCTAATATCATTGCATTTTTTTTGCTTTTTCATATTCTCAAATCCTACACTGAAATTTAGCTGTTGTGGCTTATCTGGTTTTTGAAACTGAAGCATGTGTTCTTAATTATAGTGATCATATTGGGGATGAGATTTACCAAACTTTTGCAATCAATTGCGATTGCCGCTTTGAGACTCAAGGGTAGAGGATTCAACTAGAACACGAGCAAGGGGCACATCCAAATCAGAAGGGGGTTTGGTTGGAACACATAGCAAAGTGGACCAAGCCCTATTAAAATTTGAGACAATATTTGATCACTTGTGATAGAGTACTCTGGGGCAAACCATACAAGGTCAACATCATAAAGTAGGTATTGGGCTGCTCAAGCTCCTGGGCAGGAGTAGCAACCGGGAGCAGAAGTTTGTTGAAATCATTTTAAGCCCCATGAATCTAGCCCAATTGAGTGGCATAGAGTTGTCAAACCTCCGAGGAACAATGACATTTGTTAGGTTTTGGCATACACCATAAAAGCTGTTAGGGATGTTATCATAAAACCATTCATGTATCTTAAATCTTCATCTCACATATTAATCTTTTGGGGTAGTGGGTTCATGACATGGTATTAGTGCCTTTGTGATTAAGTATGTAGAGTTTGATTCTTGCCACTCTCATTCTTCTAATAAAAATTTTGAGTTTCAACACAAGGTATATGGCTTGTGCATTGTCCATGCTTCAAGCCTAATGGGCTCTTGCATGAGGGGACATACTAGAGATGTTAATATAAAATTATTAATATATCTTCACCTAATAACTTAAGCTTTTGGGCTAATTGGTTCATTATAGAGGCATTTGGTGTCATTGGTATAAAGGACTTTGATGCCCATTTGAACTGTTTAGGTGCGGGCATCAAGTTGGTTGCGGTAGCGAGGTGGTCCACATATTCTTGACTGCTAAGCTAGAGCTTGATATCAGAAGCCCACGTGTCATGGTACCATTTTACTTGTCATTGGATAGTGGAGCATTGACTTAGTTGGTGAAAACAGACGGCGTAGCCTTCGTAGGGTCACTAGAGGCAGTGGAGGCCAGGTTCAGTGGAAAAGGGTCAATACACAACTAAACAGGGGTTGCAACTTGCAAGGGCAGGAAGGAACATTGTAGAGGAGGGAAAACACAGAAGGACAACATATTTATGGGGAGAGGAGAGGCTGGCAAGTGGAGCACAACAAACAGAAGCCCCAAAGAACCTCCCACGTGCTGGCACACTGATAAGGACCTTCAACACTAAAACAGAACTAATAACACATACAAAGGAATTTTTGGCCTGAATAATCAGATTTTATATATCCATGGAAATCAAGAGACAATTACAACAAAATGAAAATTAAAATGAACTAGAAATAACACTAACAGTAAAGGAAATAATAGTAAAGGATAATGTGAGACAAATGGAGAGACCTCACTCTCTCCCAGGTTCCAATCCAAGTCCAAGATTCCCCATGCCCTGCTTGCTCCTTATTTAACTACTTCAGCCCCTGCGTTGATTCACACCCTTCCCACAACTGATTTCGCCATAACAAACTATGGAATATTCTTTACTGACTCAGCATGTTTATGGGCCTTCGTTATTGGGTTTGTATCACACGCTTTTGGAGAAGCGTGCGAGAGAGACTCACAAAGAACATCGAAGGCACATGGCTTAGGATCTGTGCAAGAGATTCTGACTAGTAGATCGGCCAATGGCGAATCTGTCCATCGTGATTTAGGTTGGAAGGTCACCAGGAGACTGCCAAAATGATTACACCGTAGTGATTGGCTGGCTAACCTGAGTGGAGAACACCAGTGAGTGATGGGTCCACTGGGTAAACACAGTTGAGGATTACCTCTCCTTCGGGCTTTGATAGTTTGATACCATGTTAAGAGAGAGAAAGAGAGAGGCATTTGTAGCAACGTGTGCATGATACCCAGCGATAACTGAAAATGTATAGAAATACAGTAATAAATACAAGGACCCTAATTACTATAATTACGTGATTTGATTTTGATTTTGCTACACCGATACAATAAACCTAGACACTATTTACCTAGTTTCCAAGAATTACAATATATGATTTACACAACAAGAGAATGAACTTTATGTGGCCTTCAAACCTGCTAAAGGTCATTAGTATTGTCCCTAGAGGGTGATCTGGATTTAAAAAAGAGGGCCAGCAAGATAAAAGTTACCCCATTTCCGAGAATGTCTACAAAACTGAAAGATGGAATTAAAATAATAAACACCAAAAGAATCTCTAGTCTAGTCCCAACAGTGCCATTAAGCGCTTGTGAAATCCAATCCTAATGAATTAAAATAAGGAAACTTCCAACTCTGAGCTTTCTTGATAATTAATATTGTTGTATGTCTGTTCCAAAGAATGACAAAATCATGTGAAGGATATTATCTGCAAATATGCAGCTGATGTAAAGGGGAAAGCCCAAAAAAAGAGAGAGAAAATGATTCAGAAATTGAAGCATTCACGTGAATGATTTCTCATAAAGACAGTGTAAACCATAGGTATCTAAATTAAGATGACCTTTATAAAAAAATGATCAAATTGATATATGCTGCAAACCATAGGTATCTAAATTAAGAAACCTTTATATATGCTGTAACTTTATATTGCTAACATATTCCATATTTTTGTGAAATCCATGCCATAGAATAGTATCTGAATTAGTTATCTGTATACATAATCTTCAAATTTTGTAATTTATAATGAAAATTTTCGATTATTTTTTTCAGCTTTCCTTTTCATTTCCACAGAAGACAGCTATACTAACATAATTGCAAATTTACAATTATCTCAAATATATTAATCAGAAAAGATATAATATGGTAAGGACTAAGGAGTATCTTTTAGGAGCATGCACTATAGGAGTAAATTATATATTATTCTTCAAACGAAAGCCTCTTTTGCTGCACTCTATTCCTGTGTGTAATAATTATCATTGTCCTGTGAAAAAGAATCAGATTAAGTTAATATGATACAGCTTAGTATGTGACTTTTTGAGCTGTCTATCTTCCCCAGTGATGTTCCTCCCATTATTTGTTGGTGTCTATGCTTTATATTAGAACTAACTACTTGAATATGTATTTTCTCAGGATTAACTATTCAAGCTAATATGTATTATAAGATGCTTATTAGGTGGACAAGCCAGAAGATTAAAGATACATACTCTACACATAATGCATTTGATTTTAAGAATGGTAATTTCGATTTTTTTATATTTGAATTCTCAGGAATTTCAAAATTTCATCTAGCTTTCATATGTGCGTTCATGCAATAATAATTTGCAATGATTGGGTTATGCTGTGATACAGAGCCTTGATGTTGGAGCATTACTGTGGTTAGAGATTACAGTTCCTTATATTCAATAGTTTGAACAGTTTGTTTATATGAAGAAATCATTTTTCTGAATGATTAAGGGATTTGAAGGTGGAAAAGAAAAAATGAAAAAAATTTCTTGACAGCACAAAGTGTGGGCTTTGGGGCTGATTGGGTTTTAAAGATTAAAAAGCTCGGTAAGAAGGGATGTTGGTAAAGGGTTTAAATGTTGTGGGATAGAGGAGTGGACTTCATGGCTAAAATAAGAATAATTGATTGGCAGCTGTGGATAGTACCCTAGAAGGCAAGATGGAATAAATGTATTAAAGGTTTTATGAGAAAACATGTCTACCACCAGATCATTAGGCATGACATCCATATGACACATCTTTTGATGATACGGAAATATAAATATTTTCATACATGGTTCTAGAAAATCTAAATTTGTTGAAAAGAAGAAATAAAAATAAAAATAAAATTAAAGTGTGTGTGTGTATATATATATATATATATATAATGATGGTGTTTGCCTTTCTTTTCTTTGTTCATTTATGTCCCATTTGGAGTTTGCCTCTTTGCTATTTATTTGGGTTCATTGACCGCCACCCCAACTAGTTTGGGATATAAGTAATGGTGATGTTGATGTTAAATGATGGTGTGTCCTCTAACTTTGATGGACAGGATGAAGAATAATGAGAAAATTATGTCCTTTGTCATATAAGGCCTTGATCGTTCATCTTTAATCAAATTTGTATCGAGGTTTCGAGGTCAGATGGTGAAATATTGAAAGAAAAAAAAAGAAACTAGAAGTCCTAATGGAGTATCATGTGAAAATAGAAATTGTGCTCTGTATTAAATTTTTTGTACAGTAAAAACTTAATCAAATCTAGTCATAAATGAAAATTTCATATGAATTTTATGAAAGTTGAGATTGAAGGTATAATTTGTTGCATGGATATATATCAAAGTTCCATGTCTCACTCATCTGGTTTGTATGTTGTAGTTCACAAATTTGAAAGGAATATGATAGATGCTCCTGGTCCTTGTGTTCTTTTTGCCACGCCTGGGATGATAAGTGGTGGATTTTCACTTGAAGTTTTTAAGCACTGGGCACCGTCAGAAAATAACCTTGTCACTTTGCCTGGGTACACCCTTATCTCTTCTCTTTCTTTACTTCCTATCTTTTTATGTTAGCCATTAGATAAATAACATGATGAGCGAAATGCAGATAAATGTCTCTGATACGACATCTTTGAAGGTGTACTCTAGGAAGTAAACCCACTGTGTTTCCCCTTTTCCCCATTTAAATCTGATCCAGTTTTAATTTCCCACAATTAATGTGTTACATTCCGAAGTTTATAGATATCAAACTGTTTTAATGCTGCCACATTCACTTAATGATATATAGCTCTTCCTATTAAATCTTAATAAATTTGGTTAAAGTTTTCTCTCTTGGATAAAGTTTAGGAATTAGGATTAATACAACTTGGAGCTTGGTGGTAGCAGCATACAAATTGATATTTGATATGACTGACATATTTTTTAGAAGGAAAGAAGATTTGAGATGCAATTGATTGCTGTAGATGGGTATGGGTTTGAGATTGATCTTTACATCATGGGGATGATTCACATGCTTGTTTTGGATAAAAGGGAACAAATTTTGGTCGCATGCCTTTCCCTTATATTATATGGCGCACAGCAGGTGGACAGCATGAATCAGGGCTTGTATCTGTTATTTGTTTCTTGTGTGGGAAACTGGAAACTTAAAGGCTTCAGGTGGCTCTAAGCATCCTCGTAGATAGCTTTATTTGTTGTCATATTTTTTGTCCTATTTTGGCAACAAGTATTGAGGTGAACAATATATAAGGCAGTTTGAAGACACTGGTTTCCTGGGTTTTAAATTGTAAATAGTTTTGATTTCGGCACCTTTTGTTCAGAGACCCTTTTCTCTTTCTTCAGAAGACCTTTTCAGTTCTCAAGTGTGTCCTACTAAAGATTAACTTGGGATAAGAAAATTTGCGTGGTTCTGATTGGTGGTTAAGAGACATGCTGGGTTTGCAGATGTTACTGTAGTTTACTTGAAATATTATCTACCATAAGGTCAAGGCATTTTAGTATGTGGTACTTAACAAAGTATTTAAACTGATGACCTCCTGCAAGCTATGTGACTTTTCGAAGCCTGCCCTGATATATTTAATTGTGTTGAAAGAGTTCTGAAACTAGTTGTCAATTGTTTTTTTCATTGCTTGATGACTTAGTGTCAACGGTTTGCTTGTTTTGTGGTAATATAGGCTGTCATTCTGCACATGAAGACATGGTGATTAGTTTTCAGGGCATTGGTAGTGTCAAAGACCAACTCTCCTGAAAGCCTAAGCTATTATGTATAGGTACAGACATGTTTTATAGCTCTAGCAGGTAGGAAGGACTATGATTAGTGGAGACAGTGCTATGCTTGTTTTACTGTTTGGTGTTCCTATAACAGATGGGGATGCTGGAATTTTAGGCTCAGATTATACTATGTCTCTGGGACTGTCTTTTATGTTCCTAGTGCTACCACCTTTGTGTTATGAACTTGGCCTTTTTGGTGGTTTTTCTATTTTCAGATGATCAGAGAAACAGGGTTACATAACATACCATTCCTCCTTTTTTTCCCCTGATATATCTTATCCCTTCTCTTCAGTATTTTTTTTAACCTCTTTGCCCAGTATTATTATATGGTTAAAGCCGTAGATTTTAAGAAGGTTGAGATATGCTTGCACATAGGAAGCCCCTTTGAGTTTGGAAAATTTATCCTTTACTGAAAACAACTCTCCTTGTACACATTTTTTTTTCATGTCTCTTTCCGGTTTCTATATTATTGGTCACGAGAATTGAAAAGTTATTTTAAGGTTTCTGGAACAGGAGGTTTCCTCTTTAATCTGGGAGTCCAGATTTTTTAGGGCTTAAATGCATCATCTTGTTGATGTTATTGGTTGCCAATTAGAAATTACTATATGAAGATTTTTATTTTTCTCTATTTATTTATTTATTTATTTTTGTACATTTTTTTCTTATCTTTAATTTCTTCATTTTGTGGCTTCATCTTTCTGCACTATGTCACAACCTATATTATGTGCATGGACATGCTCCCCTTCCCCATTCCTTTTCCTTAGTTATTATTTTTATTTATTTATTTATTTTTTAAAGAAGAACATGTATAAATCCACCCTATTTTGATGTACTTATTGTGTTCTATAAATCCATTACTTTGTTACTCTTGTAGGTATTGTGTGGCTGGAACAATAGGACATAAATTAATGTCAGGTAAGCCCACCAAAATTGACCTGGATCCTGATACACAAATAGATGTGCGTTGCCAGGTACGTTTTATCTCCTACCCATTTATTTACAAGGAGATATATCTTGTGTGCAAGCAATTCAGTATTTTTATGAACTTCAGCATATAGAATATAGATGTTCCACTTGCATAGACAAGAAGTGTTAGCAGCATATGGAAGTAAATGAATCTGCCTCGTGATAAAGATAATATGATAATACTAAAACCATAAAACGAGCTTCACTTCCACAGATATTATATCAATGTAACTTCTTGAGTTTGATGTGATGAGTTTGCATATGACTTGTTTTGAGGACAAGTATACAATTGAAACCATTTTTCTTTTTCTCTTTCTTCGTTGGATAAACAAAATCTTACTTCTTTTGCTTTTGACATTATTATAGTGTGTAAAAAACTGATCTTTAAGAAGTTCATGCTGCACCTTCAACTAAATGCTTTTGTCGCCTACTAAAGTTCCTCTATTTTTCTTAGTATTGATTTGAAAATTTATGCGCTTTAGAAATAAGGGCAAGAATACATTGTAATACTATGGAAATTGTTAAAGAGATAGTAATATAAAACCATTGAAAGCCCATTGCTTTAACAGTTTGAGCTGTGAGGTGAGATGATTGTTTACCATGATATCAAAGCCTTCGTAACCATGAGGTTACGAGTTCGATCTCACCGCCCTCCCCTTTCTAGTGGAATTAAGTCAGCTCAAGGTAGAAAAAAAATGGCTGTGCAATATCCTCGCTTCAAGCTTAAAGAGCTCTTGCATGAATGGGTGTTGTAAAAAACCATTTCAACCCAAAACCTTAAGGTGTTGAGTGAAGGCCTTTTTTAATGGTTTATATTATTCTCTAACACATCCCCTCACATAAGAGCCCTTTGGGCTTGAAGTGTGGATATTGCACAGACTCAAATTTTTTTGTTTACCTTGTGCTTATTTTAATTCCACTCGAAAGTGGGAGGTGGTGAGGATCGAACTTGTGACCTTGTTGTTACTGAAGCTCTGATACCATGTAAAGAACTTAAGAACCATTTCAACCCAAAACCTTAAGGTGTTGAGTGAGAGCTTTTTTAATGGTTTATATTATTTTCTAACAGGTGTGTTAAAGAGATATAATATAAAACCATTGAAGGCCCATCACTTAAGAGCTTGAGCTGTTAGGTGAGATGGTTTTTTATCAGAAACCAATGCTTTTCTAGTCTTGAAATGCTTGAATTTTTTATTTTTTTTTAAAAAGAAAAAGGCAGATAGTTAAAAGTACATTTTATATAAATTTGAAATTGAAAAGTGTGTAGTACAGATTAGCATGGAAGGTAATTGAGTCAGTTCATTTAGTTTCTGGGATAATTTTTACTATTGTCTTGAATTGACAGGTTCATCAGTTGGCTTTTAGTCCTCACACCGATTCTAAAGGGATAATGGATCTTGTAAAATTTCTCTCCCCGAAGCATGTTATACTAGTGCATGGCGAGAAGCCTAAGATGGCTTCTCTTAAAGAAAGAATTCATTCTGAACTGGGGATTCAGTGTTATGATCCTGCAAATAACGAAACTGTATGCATTCCTTCCACTCACTATGTAAAAGCAGAAATCTCTGGCACTTTCACTCGCTACTGCTTAAATCCGAACTTCAAGTTTCAGAAATGCAGTTCGGTGGATATTAACTCTACTTCGATAGGCAGAAACTTAATGCCTGAGCTTCAAGTTGAAGATGAAAGAGTAGCAGAAGGAGTTTTGGTTGTGGAAAAAAGCAAAAAGGCAAAGATTGTACACCAGGATGAGCTTTTGCTCGTGTTGGGTGAAAAGAATCTCGAGTTTTAGTTTGCATATTGTTGTCCGGTACATATTGGTAATGGATAGCTTAATTGACAAGTGCTCTCGGCTCCAATTCTTATCTTCAAAACTTTTTGGTAGTGACTTATCAGGAGGAAACACGATCTTGGAGAACATATGCAAATGTAATCATTTCATGCATCTCCCTTGTGAAGCATTATTGTTCTTGCAGGATTCAGGAAAACTCTGTATAGCATTTTATTTCTGCTGTCTTTGGTCAGCAGTGAACAAGAAGCTTGCAAGGAAACTATTTTCAGCAATGTAGAGCATAAATATTTGGCCCATATATTTATGTCAGAGCTCTGAAGCATGTACATTAATCAACACAACGATTTGATAGAAGGAGAATCAGTTTAAACAGAACAACATCATTCTACTTTTCTTTGCAGGGAGTTTGATTTGAGAATAGACTTATACTCACACATTGAGCGAATGGTGGAAACGGATTCCAACGGGTGAGTTGATGACATTGTTCAGGAATTTGGTAGTTTCTTGCTGTCTGTTTTAGGCTTTAACAAGATTCAGATACTATTTACTCTTAATATAGCTTCAAGCGCTCATGATGCAGGAGAAAGGAAATTGTTGTGATTGTTTACGAATTCTATACAATTTTTGTAGCGATTATTTTTATTTATTTTGTGTTATTCTGAACATCTACATGTTAGCGAAGAATTATGGATCCGTGTCAATCAATGAATCGTATTTAAGTTTGGTTTTGTTTTTTACTTATTTATTTCAAAATTGCCCTTGGTATAACTGATTTTCACAAAAGTAAACAAGACCTGTGGTGTTGTTATCAAGTGTGATTATTTCGTTAAAACATTGAGGAAGGTTATACTTACAATTTTTTTTTTACAACTTCTTACAACCATATCTTAACACCGTTGATTTTCGTCAATCAACGGTTATCATTTATTATGAATTAATAATTAATTTAATTTACAATAAATGATAACCGTTGATTGACGGAAATCAACGGTGTTAAGATATGGTTGTAAGAGGTTGTAAAAAAAAATGTTCTAAGTATAACCTTTTTCTAAAATATCAGGCAAGAGAGCAAGTGATATTTGTATTAGACTGATCATTGAAAGAGTAGTTATTCAAGCAGCAATTTTAGAAATAATTGATTCTTCATATCAAGCACCAAACTGAAATGCCTGCAATGGCACCAAATAAGATTTTTCAAATTTAAAATTGAGTCATTATTATTTTATACGAAAAGAAATTATATTTATAATTTTAGTCGTTAATTCTATTTATATTTAAGTGCTTTAATTTTTGAGTTATTTGAACTTGAATATGAATGGATTAAATTTGAGTGCGGCACTTATTATTTCATTGAAAACTAATACGACAAAAAGTAATTTATTTATGGGTTTTATTTTTCTTATGTTACATGAGATAAATTAAATTGTCTCATACAACACACTACAAAAAAAAGTAGGTGGGACTCACTACAAAAAAAAAAAGAGAAAATAAAAAAAATTAATTCCACTCACTTTAGTGTGTGTTGCATGGGACAATTTGCCTCATTAAACATAAAAAAATAAAACCTTTTATTTATACTGTGTCACTTCTATATTTATTTTTACTCATTCATTTTTTTCCTTTTTAAATACTCACATAACACTGAATATGTGCTCGAAAAAAAAATATTTACCGTGCATAGCAATTAATAATTTTCCTTTTTGTAGAAATAACTTGCCCCTTAAAAATTAGTATCAAGTTTTGCCCCCGTTCTCCTAGATTCAGACTTAATAGAGCATTTAGAAACTATCTCGATAATGACAACATGAAATTTCACGACTAGCTTACCCAATTATTCAAAATGGTTGGGCATCAAACCCTGATCGTGTAAATTGACTCCCTTAATTGGTGTAATATTATAAAGATTCGTTTTGCGTGCTGTAATTTTCTTTTATTCTTTTTTCTTCAAGAAGTATAGACCTCTCAAAATATTGTGTGTAAAAAAATGTGTTGCGTTATATTAAATGACAAATACAAACCCCTATATATATTCATTCACAATCACAATAACATGCTAAAAGTCACCGACTTTTGCTCATGTAGGTTGCCGACAAACTTTTCAACATAAGCAGAGGACGTAAAACACTTAATTAAGAACACATGCATTGTCTGATGTACTTAGTAATTCAGTAGCAAGAATGTTTTCTATCAAACACATTTAGAAGCTTGCCTTGCAATAATGATTCTAAGAAACAACCAAAATGCCTTTGCAACGTTCAAAAATTGTATCAAAAATAAAATGAACCTGGAGCAAGGGGAGTGGTAACTGGTAACCATTCACGAGTACGGTGAAGAATATCGACTCAAATAACGTTTTCGTCAAAAATTCATTTTCAATCTGTATGATTATTTCCACTACCACCAACTCTCTGAATTCTGCCATTTAAATCAGGAAGAAAACTTTGCTATTTGGAATTCAGCAAATATCCATTAAATTAAAACTCAAAAGTTTGAAACAACCAAATGCATAAAAAGAAATATCCCACCCCTCAACAAAAGTAAACCACAGAAGCAGAAAAATGTATAAGAACTAGTTCTTAACATGCTTAAGATAAAAAAAAAAAAATGTTTGCATATCCCATAAAATCAAAACTTGTAACTCAAGCCTCCACCCTTTCTTCCTCCAAGATCAGGGCCTTCCCTGTGGGTTTTGCCAACAGATCTGTATACTCTTGGAATGGTGACTTCGAGAAACGAGTCTCCTTCCAGAATTCAGGTGTCAGGAACCCATAGGTTTTCAGCAAACACTCAAAAGTAGCCTGAAAAAACATCACAGCCAAAATCATTGGTAAATAAACCACTAGCAAGGGATTATGAACATATAGATACATGGGTAACAATTCCATTATGCATTTCCAATGGCTTAAAAAACACAGTTCAATTATAACCCTAGAGTAAAAGGTAAAATCATATCAGATTCCATTGCCCAATAATATCAACATTACAGAACATGATGCATTCAATTCAAAACATTCTTATAAAATTAGAACCATCAAAACACAAAAGGACCTCCAAGTATGACTTCAATAAAACAGAGGTAAAAAGATAAAAATTATAGATAATTACATAGTCCCATAATTTCCACCAAACCAGAACATGAAACATTTACTTCAAAACATTTATATAAAAATAAGAACCATTAAAACATAAAACGACCCCTAAGTATAAATTAGAAATAAAAACAATCAACAATATAAATTAACAATAATTGAATAAAAACTTGAAGTTGCAAAAATGAAGAAAGAAACAAAACCTTAACGAAATTGCCGAGGGTCTTGGTGGATCCTCTGGAAGAAGTGAAGACATCCTCAATTCCCGCAAACTGAAGAACCTTCTTGGGCACCCTAGCAGCAACGATTCCGGAACCACGAGGCGCCGGAACCATACGGACGGTGACGGAGCCACACTTTCCGGTGACTTTGCATGGAACGGTGTGAGGCTTCCCAATCTTATTACCCCAATAGCCTCTCCTGACAGGAATAACGGACAGCTTAGCAAGAATAATAGCGCCGCGGATGGCGGTGGCGACCTCCTTGCTACACTTAACGCCGAGTCCCACGTGGCCGTTTCCGTCGCCGACAACAACGAAAGCCTTGAACCGGGTTCGCTGACCGGCCCGGGTCTGTTTCTGAACCGGCATGATTTTCATAACCTCGTCCTTGAGGCTGGGACCCACAAGGGTATCGATAATCTGATACTCTTTGATTGGAAGAGAGTGTAAATAGATCTGCTCAAGGCTTCGGATCCTTCCCTCTTTCACAAGACGACCCAATTTGGTCACTGGGACCCATTTCTCTTCCTCCTCGCGCCGGCCACCGCCTCTTCGTCGCCCGCCTCGTCCCCTGTCGCCGCCGCGCCCGCGACCGCCGAAGCCACGCCCGAATCCGCCGCGATCCCCGCGGTCGCCGCCTCCACGTTCGGCCATTTTTGGTGAATAGAGATAGAGAGAAAGAAACAAAGAAGAAAGCGCGGCGCAGAACAAACCCTAGTTAGTGAGAAATGGAGATTTGGATTTTGGGTGTTGTAGGGTTTATATTTTGTAGGGTTACTAGCGAGCGTGTGCGTTTGGTTTTGAGGTTTGTTCCAAACCGGGATATGGAATTCTTAATCTATGAAATGAGAATTGATCTATCCACACCACCTAGCAAGTTGTATGTTAGGCTTTTTTTTTTTTTTTTTTTTTCTAAACTTGCAAGCAGTTTGAAGTTTGAAGTTTGAACAATTGGGGAAGGATATTGTAACAATCAAGTTATGTTACTACTATGTTACTACCAATCAATCTCACCGTTAGATCGATTATGTTAATTCAACAGTTATATTTATTTCCATCTTTGTATGATCATGATTTCTCAAATTTAATACTTTATATTTATTTTCACCTTTGTATGGTTATGATTTTCCATATTTAATGCGTTCACTTTAAATATGGGAAATCATAACCATACAAAGATGGAAATAAATATATCCGTTGGATCAACATAATCGATCTAACGGTGAGATTGATTGGTAGTAACATGGTAGTAACACAACTTGGTTGTTACAATATCCTTTCCCTGAACAATTTTATCATTCCCTCGTAAACGTAGGGCATGTTTGGTGTGATGTATAAGGTTTGATAGTATAAGCTTATATTATACGTCATCACATTTTCACTTATTTGATGTAACCATTGTATAGTATAAGCTTATACAGCAGAACCCCTTAATATATCAAAATGATGTATAACTTAATCAGGCCTAAGGGGGTGAGATTAGGCCTAATAAGGGGTTAATGTATTAATATTGCTTACAAGTACAATTTTCACTCAAAATGGAAATTTAACTGCAACTAGGATTTTGAAAGTGATTATTGTGAACTTGAATTATGAAAGCATGGTCAATTTTGGTGGATTACGTTTGGTAGCTGTTTCAAAATTGTAATGTTTATCAATGATTGGAAAGTTCATATCATGGTTAATGAATCCTCTAATCAGTGGAGTCAATTACATCTGAGGTACCTAGGATAGCGAAAAGCTCGAGGGAGTTTCCTCATATGGGTGTTTTGACGAACTGTATAAGGGGTACCACTTAACATGATATGTATGAAAAGCATGATGGAATTGATTAGCTGTATACATGACTGTTTAGTTCCATGTTTTTGTTGAGTACGTTTTAGAAGAATAGACCTTGTGACACTTGATTCTAGGAAAGTATTTAGACAGTATCTATAGAATAAGCGAATATGCTAAACATCTCATATAAATATGGCAATTAGGAGTTAGTACATCAGAATTTTTGTATCCCTTACTTCTGTCCATATAATTTAGCTCCCTCTATAGAGTTTAAAAACACACAGCTTTCATTATATGTCTCTCCTTTTCTCTTACCTCAATCAGGTATTTCGAGCTTAATTAGAGGTGGCTCCTAAACCATGCGTGCTTGGTGAAACCACTACTCATCAATGTAATTCTTTCTTTTCCGTAAAATAGTATCAAATATCATACTACTCACTTGATTGATACTTTAATTTTTTTTTTTACCTCTAAGGTGATGGACTAAGGTCCTTAGAAAATAAGAGCATTTGATGGGAGGCTTAATTAAATTCTCGGTATTGAAGCTTTGTGATTTCATGAAGACTTTTCTAATTTGTAATTTGGAATGTGATGTGTTCTGTTTTACTTGCTTGATTTTCTGAAGGCTACCAAGTTATGGAATTCTGTTTGTGATGTTTATCAAGTAAGGTAATTAGTTTTGAAGTCTGAATATAAGGAAAATATGTGATGTGTTTAGTTAGTGAACTGAATTTTATCATATGTAAGGAATAAGTTAGGAAGTGGTTGTAATTCCAATTTGTAACATGTAAACTGCAAAGATGAAATATTTGTAATTGAAGATCAAAGTTAATCAGCCCCTCTGTTTGCGCAAGTAATAGGCAGGTGTTGTCTAGTTTGTTTAATTTGTCTAATTCGGAATCGTGAAACACTGTTTGTGTTACCAATTGTGAAGTAACCTTGTAAATTGAACTGTTAACTTTTCAATCAATTATGCATAAAACTCTAGAGTCATCTTGTAGGTAATGACGTGCATTTTTAGTATAGTAAGTATAGCAGGTACATAAGTAAGAGGACGACATGTACAACTGCTGTTAGTGCAATTTTTATGACTAAACTATCGGGACACAAAGGATAAAGTAAACAAGATGATTATATGGTATTATGTATGAATATATAAAAGGCAGGGTGACATATTATTGATATTGACACACATAAAGAAACAAGGAACATAAATAATAACGTTAATGGATAATCACAAATGTATACAGGCATAGAACCAGATTATATCTTATTTAGGCACTAGAACAGGATTTCTTTGGGTCTTAAAAGAGATCATGAAAGTGGAGGCCTAGGTGGCTGTTTTCTTCCAACTATCGAGTATAAAATTTATATAGTAAAGAAGTATTTTGTAAATGGATTTGTCTAGTTTTCCAACTAATTATGTACTAAAGCCCTGAGCTTCATTATAAATTTTTGGATAGCTGGAGTTTCTTTGTTTAGTAAGATTATATGTCGGTTTTACTCCCTCTTTGTTGCAGTATGATCTTTGATGTTGTTTAAAAAGAAACCAGACATTTGTTTTTGTTATGATTAAGCATAGGAAAATTTTTATTCCCTTCCATGTGAGTAAAATTTTGTTACATGTATCTAATGAACATGTAAAGTACAATCTGTTGGTAATACCCTGAATTAATGATTGATGACATGTATAGATGCCTATCTGAATGTAATATAATGTATTGCATGAATGCAATTGTGTTAGGCATTCGACTTAAGCAGTTTTTCGGGATGGTAGGACGAAGTTTGGGGACAAACTTCAAATTTTGGTGGGGAGAGTGTAACAACCCGCAAAAATATTAAAAACCATTAAGAATCTAGTACTTATAAAACTGTTCATATCAGGAATTTTAGAGGAAAATATCCTTTTGGTTAAGTTATTTATCTTTGTTTTCGGATCTTGCCATAAGGAGTAGTGTAGGAAAGATTAATGGTGAGTCATCCGAATTACTATATTTATTAGTGGGCTTCAGCCCAAACTCTTTGGATTGAATTACTATTTTTATTCTTAGGATGAGATAACTAATAGTTTAAAATGCAATTATAAATGTGAATGCTTGCTATGAATTCGAAACATAAGTATGTGTAGGATAGGATCAATTTTAATTACAATATATGTAAAAACCCTAGTTACTACCTAGTGGGTACATGAAATAATAGTTCTTAGTATATTGCATGAGATAGGTGATCCATTAGGAAGTTAATTTTTGGACCCAATGATCCTTTAGGGCGACGGCCTAATCAGCCCAAAAATCCTTTATCCCTTAGCCTTTAACTAATCACTTAATCATCCAAGTGAAATCTGCATGGTTGATCCCCATTGGTCAAGTAGTACCACATGTCAACATCTATCCATCCTTATCTCTCTATTTCATGCGCCTAGTATAGTGAAAAAGCAAGTTGATTGCTTGTCATTGTATCCAAAGTCTAAGTCAGCCTTAGCTACTCCATGCACCCAATGAGAGAAAAGAAATCTGGTTTGTGCCACTTTGTTCAAAGTCCAATCAGCCCTCACTTTATCCTCTCTCTCTCTCTCTCTCTCTCTCTCAGCCGCAAGTTCAAAGGGAGAGACCACACCACCAAAACTTGCATTCCTTCTCTCTTTCTCCATTTGCTTTCAGAATCAAACTCAGCTTTATCCTCTCCCTCTCAAAGTCACAAACACAAAGAGAAGAATCTCAACACCTAAGCTTGCATTCCTCCTTTCCTTCTCTCCCTTGATCGGCCAAACATCAAACATCAAGGAGATAAAGTACCTTCACTAATTTCTTGTCACTCCCTACTTCACACGGTGTTGATGGAGCTCCTTTCCCTTGCATGTAGCTAAAAACCCGAGTTCTTGCAAGGAAGATCACTATACTTGAGTTTGGACCACTCTTTCATTACATGCAAGAACAAGTGAGCATTCCCTACCTTATTTGTTTTCTGATTTCGGCGCGTGAGAGTATGAGTGAGCTGTTCCTTATTTTGTTTTTTGTTTTAATTCCTTGGATAGTGAGAGTGTGAGGGTGCTGCTCATCCCTTGGTGGCTGTTTTCCCTAACCGATTTGAGAGCACTTGGGTACATGCAATAAGGTATAAATCGCAAACCAGGCTTTCCCTTTCATCCTCACTGTTTTGATTTTTTCTTAGAGGTATACAAGGAGGATGTCTTTTGTCATTCTCCTTCCTTCCATTCTGTTTAGTTGGGAATCACCTTGGACCCTTGGTGCATGCAAGCATAAGACCGTTTTTTTGAGCTTGGAAGATAGCTCTTCATGGATTTCAGGACTGTTCTTTTGGTCTAGCAAATTATTTAGCTTCGCATGTGTTAAGAATTATTTGGACAGCAAGATTAAAGCCTAATTAGCGCATGCTTAACTTAGGTGGGTGATGTTATGTTAAACAAGAATGGAAGCACCTAGTGACCATAAACTAAACCTGCATACTTAGGAAACTTTGATTTTATCACTTGTTAACGATTAGTAAAACTAAACTTAATTCAGAAAATTAATTGGTATTTGAAGCGTGGAAATCCGATTGAAAACCAAGGATTAAGAGGAATGGAAATTCTATGTAATGTATAGGAAAAATAAGAAATAAAATTCTGATTTGATATGTTGTTGTTTAGGTCTGCGAACCTCTAGGAAAGTGGACGAATTTGGTGATACGTTTGATTAAAATTTGTAAGCATCAAGGTAAGTGTTTGGTGGATTAACCTTTTGTGACTATTAATTTAGTTCATGATTTTTTGATTTGTTGCTCATGTGTCTTCATAAAATTCTATTTGAAGGCATGTGTAATATGAATTTGAAAGTAACTTGTTGGAATTCTATTTTGGAGACACTTTATGTCCGAAAATTTGGTGTCATAGTCATGAGACTGTGATTTTCTGATTCTGAATTCTGGTCATGCTCATGAACATCATAAATCCGCATTTTTGTCATGTGTGTGCGAAGCAAAACATAGCATTTCATACATCATTATACATGCAGTTTTGGAAACCGAAATATTTGATGAAATGAAGCATATGTTTGAGCATGCATCATATAGGCATCCCTCAGGTACCAGGGAGAAGGAACCGTGGCTCAGTTCGCATAGGCTTCAATTGGAATTCCCCTCTGTTAGGGCCAAATAGAATCTCTATTGAGTTTAGTTAGTAGTATATGCACATTAATGCTATGAACATACAATATTCTGGCGTTATATACGCATTCTGTTACATTTTGGCATCTGTTTGGAAATTATTGGATGGTGACAATTTTGGAAATTCTGTATCTAAATTAATATCGTTGCATTATTGGATTTTCTGCCACACTACTGAGATTTTCTCACCCCTTTTGGGGCTCAATTTTTATAAAATTGCAGGAGGACGTAGAAGTATTTGATGGAATATGTTCTTGGAAAATTTTTGTTCGCGTTTAATTGTTGTTTGTAATCTCTACTATGAGTCCGCTGTTTCTGGTTGATTGGGGTGTTGAATTCTTGAACTTGACGTAATATTTTGGAGACCGGCATATTTTGTAATCGTGCTATGCCATGTGGATTATTATTGTAGCATGAATTTTATGATGTGGTATGGAACATAGGGAACCATGATACTTTATGACTAAGTGGTTTGAAATTTCAGCTCTTAAACAAGTTGAGTTTGTTAACGGTAAAGTATGAATTATTTGGCTAAAAATGTGTATGAGAATGATTAGTAACAATTACATCTTGTGTAGTGGAAATTTTTGGGAGCAATCTGAGTTCAATTAGCCTATGATAATAAGTTTTGTTTTAAAATAAATATAGCATGTATTAAATTCGGATTTTTGCACTAATTTAACGTGCATCTTGCGAGTTATGTTTCTGGAGCCACAGATCTCCAAATACAATAAATTTTATATGTACGTAAAGTCCCAAATGTCTACTTTCTTTGTAACAAAGAAAATTTTCAAAAGCTTGTAAGTTCGATTTTATATGATTTTTGTAAAACAGACAGTTTTTCTGGAACATTTAATATTTCAGCTCCAACGTTTTTTTTATCCCTAGCTGCTTTACCTATGTATATGATTTTAATACAGTTTTTTATCACGCGACTTAAAAATACATTTCCAGAATAAATTACGTTATCGTTGCGACTCTAATAAAATTTAGCAGGCATCTCCCTTGAATGCATACAGGGGAGGGTGTCACACCATCTCTAACTATCAATATTTTATATAAATTATTATTTTTTTGCAATGAATTGTGTCCTTAGTATTTTAAATTTTACAAATTTGTATTTACAAAAATTAAAATCAAATTTAAAAAATTAATTATAAAAGAAAAATGATGAAATTTTAATTTAATTATAACATGGTTTAAGGGTGAACATAAAGTGAATCATTCACTTGGCTTGCTTGTGATTTGAATAAAAACTTTTAGCATGGTATGATTGCCTAGCAGATGCTGAGGATAGCTGAAGTGTGATGACATTTGTTTAATATTTCAAAAAGTTTGATGGAAGGAGATATTTAATTTTAAGTGTTACATCTTACTCTCTCCACACATTTCAGTTAAATATTGTTTAAAAACCATGATATGAACTCAAGCTGTTGGGCTTCTTTCTTTTAAAATAAATTCCAATTATCAAAATTGTTTTATTCAACAATAAAATTTTCGTTAATAGATCTCCCTAGTGCCCCATCTGCAGCAATGGAAATTCCTGGCTACGTTCATATATTATAATGTTCAAACTGAATGACCTTTCTAAAGAAAATAAAAGTTCTGTCTTGATAAAATGATTTATTGTTTGATAAGTCAATTTGTGAAGTTATTCGTCTGAAACTTCAAATGTTTTTTTTTTCTTGCAGAAAACACCAGTATCAAAATGAAGTTAGAAAAGTGATTATATGTAAAGCTAACTGTGTGGATGTGTATATGCTCTGCTGCTTTGATACTTTTAACATACTAACATGGAAAGTTAGATAAGGGTAAAATGAGCAAGTTAACTCAAATTGCTAACATTTTTAAAGGTGGATTTGATGGAAAAAAATCATAAAAGATAATTGATAAGAGAAAAAGTATAGGGGTGTAAGCGATAAAAGAGAAACCAAAGGGGGTTTTATGAACTTTTCTCTAATTTATAATTGTCCAAACTTAATTTAAAATAAGGAAAAATGTTTCTACGATTACTGCAGATAAGTTATCTACATTTATTTCCAAAATAATGTCATTTTTATATTGAAATCTTAAAAAATTATAAATATAAAGACTATTATAAATCTGAAATAAATTAAAATTACAAAAACATCATGTTTTTTATCCCAAAATGACGTCGTATTGGACTTACTGCAGATAACTTATCTGCAGTAAATAACTGCAGAAAAAGTCAACCCTTTAAAATAATTACCAATCTCTTTCTATGTTCAATTGCTAGAATGGAGCCTTCAACATAAGAGAGCAAATCCAAACTTCCAAAGGCACTTTTTGAGGGTACGGTAGTGGGCTAATCAGGCCAATGTAGAGGCCCACAGACTCATTTTATAGAAAAATTACTTTTGTGCTTATTTTGCTCCATTGATGCCACGCGGTTTTAGACATTTTCATGTAATATAAGGGTATGCATGACAATCTTTCTGAAATCATTTTTTTTTTTAATTTCCATTCTCGGGAACACAAATGAATAAAAAACTCGTTTTGTAACATGTTTTATTTTCATTCCGAGAATTAGAATTGTGTTTGATAACACAATAAAAAATCATTCCTATTAAGCATAAAAAAATTTCGAATCATCACTTTCCTTTTCATATAGTGTGGTGGTGATGGTGGCAACGACGGCGGCAGTGGTGGTTGTAATAGTGGCGTTGTGGTGGCGGTGGTGTCATGGTGGTGGTGGGGGGGTGATGGCGTGGTAGTAGCGGCGGCGACGGTGGTGGAGGTGATGGCATAGTGGTGGTGGTGATGCAATAGTGGTGATGGCATGGTAGTAGCGGCGGCGACGGTGGTAATGGTGACAACGGCAGCGGTGGTAATGGTGGTGGTGATGGTGACGGTAGTAGTTACGACGATGGTGGTGGTGATGGTGGTGGTGACGTAGAGATGGTGGTAGTGACAACAATGGCCGCAACGATGGTGGTGATAATGGTGGCGATGGTGGTGGCAGTAGTGGTGGTGATGGTGACGACATGGTGGCGGTGGCGATAGTGTGGTGATGGTGGCGACATGGTGGCGGTGGTGATGGTAGTGGTGGTGGCAATGGCGTGATAATGGTAGTGGTGGCAGTGGCAGTGGTGGTAATGGTGGCATTGTGGCAGTGGCGGCGGTAGTGGTGACGGCAGTGTTTGCTGTAAGAACCCGCACCGCTAATTAAGGAAATTAATTAGATAATTATGAGATAATTCTATAATTGACCCTAATAATTATTATGAGGCTTTAATAATTATAGAAGGTGGGTAATAATGTTGAAAGTCGCTTTTCGGACGAAAAGTGCAGATACCGGTTATGCTCGCGGTATAAGTGCATACCGGCGAAGTATCCCGAAAAATTATGAAAAGTGAGTATATATTACTAGATTAATATGTAGGACTGTGATTTCAAGTTTCAAGTTAAAATAATGAGAACTGGTGCCAGAACTGATACTGGCTATGGAAAAGCGCGTACCGAAAAAGTGCTGCGAAAAATTAATAAAAATATGATAAATCTTAGAAAATTGAGTAGGTTCTGATTCCAAAGTTTGGGATCAAATTGCTAAGCATAGCAATTAGCGCTAATACAGTGCGATTAAGACTTAATGAGGCTATATATAGGTGTGCACAAGTTTCTAGGTCAGAAACTTGACACCCTCTACGTGAAAATTGGTTGAGTGTGAGCTGCCACCTTCTCCCCTTGACCTTCTTGCATGAGAAATCTCATAAGCCACCTCTTTTACCATGGATTCTTCTCTTTGAACCTAGTTTACACTTGAGAGATTGCATTGTGAGGGGGTGTGGGTGCACATTCTGAGTTTCCAGCCACTGTGAGTTGGTGTGGGTGCTGACCTTGCTGGTTTGGGTGTTGGGAAGCCATGGTCATGGCATTTGGAGGTCCAAGTAGTGACCTTTGGTGAAAAAGAACCAACCTTGATCATCATTTTCGTTTTACTTGAGAAGTCAGACTTTGGAGCTTCATGCGAGCTCCAAGAGCATCATTCCTTGCTGTTTTAAGCTTTGGGTAAGTTGTTGAACCTTTGATCATGAGTTTTAATGGGTAAAAGGGAAGCATTGATGCATGAAATGAATTAAAGTTAATAACCTATGGTTGGGTAATGTTAAACACACTTAAAAACGTATGTTTAAGCTGCTGGAACCTTGAAATGAACAACCTTTGGACGGATATCTCGCGAAATGCAGAACTACATTCTGTCGCGAAATATCCGGATATTGGGACAACAATGAACCTGTTCGGTAAAAAAGATATCTTGAGCTACAGAGCTCCAAATCGAGTGCCGTTTGGACCTATGTGAAGCTAACACATAGGGATACAACTCTGTAAAATTTCGTAGCCATTGGATAAGTGGTTTGATCGAAGTGTCATTTTGAAGTCGCGTTTTGGTTGCTGGAAATTTCGGTTACAACAGTCACTTTGCGTAAAACATAACTGGAGTTATACAACTCCGATTGAGGCGTATAATATGTCGTTGTAAATCTGGATATGTCTAGTTTAACATATTAAAATCTTAGAATTTTTAGTGAAGAGATGCAATTAAAGTTTTAAAAAGAGTAAACGCAGTTTAATGCTTAAGGCTTTGAGAAAAGCCTGCAGTAAGCGAAAATGAGAAAGAAAACGTATTCCTTTTGACATGAAATTATAGAGCATGAGTATTGATGTTAATTATGGTATAAACAGACTGTGATTGTGCTGTTTGGTGACCTTGAGCTAGCGTGCACTCTTGGCTTGGATAGTTAGCTTGCGAGGTAAGCTTTCGTGTCCTCGGTTTAGCCATTGTTGGTTCCACCATTTTCCATGGGGGGATGGTTGTATGCATGATGTGTTTTCATGTACTGTTTTATTGAAATGCTATGGAGCTGTTAAGTGCAATTGCTTATGATATGTATGTAGTGTTACGCCTACAGGAGGCCAGAGGGCGATCCTGTGGGCGGGTGCAGCGAATGGCTAGTACCGTGTGGGTTTATGGATTCCTACACTTCTCTGATCAGTAGAATAGTTAACACACATCTCATGATTATATGCTGCATTGCATTATTTTGGAAATTATATTGTTAAACTGCTTTTGAACTTAAATTGCACATGTAAGTGAGCTTGGGGTGAAAGATCCTTGAGGACCCCTTGTCTTACTGAGATTTCTTGTTTAGAGATCTCACCCCACGTTTGGGGACGCTTATTTCAGGTTCAGGTAATTTGGGGGCTGATGCCTCTTGCGGCAGGAGGCCGGAACTGAATTAGATTATGTTGTTATCATGTTATTATGTTGTATGCTGACATGATGTGGACTTGGTTGCTGTTTATGTTCTCTGTCATTTATGATTATTGAGTTGAGACTGCTGTTGGGCTTGTGCCTTATTTGGTGAGCATGTGGTTTGTCCATGCCACTTTGATTTCCGTTTGGTTTAAGTTTATCTG